TGAAAACAGTGTGTGAAACGATCAAGGAGGAACGGATGCTGGAAGAGCTTTCTAATCCAAGGCTTGACTCAACCCACAGCTTTCCAGGCTGGAGCAGCCCCGATCCACCAGCACCTCCCTTGGGAGCAGCCGGAGCAGACCTCCTGCTGGCCAGGGCCTGGCTGCTGAGGTTCCCAAGGACCCACACTTCCCACTGCCAAGTGTGTGACATGTTTTTTGATGGTGCCTTGCTGAGAGCAAGCAGATTGCAAAGCCCGTGTTCAGCTCTCTTCAATAGCATTGCAATAAAGCGATACCTGCAGCTGCCGTGCTGATTGCTTTTCTGTACAGAAAAGAAAACACATTTAGGACAATGCATTAAACCTCTTAAGGACTTAGAAGGTCTATTTTGCTGTTGGAAGCAGCAAGATGTGAGGATGTTTGCTGTCAATGTGAGAGCAGTGCCATCGCATCTCCTGTCCTGTTCCCAGCCCTGCCTATCTCTGCAGCTATCTGTCAAGGCAGAGCAGTGTGGAAGGGGTTAATCTGGAGAGGAGAAAGTTTCTGATGCTTGTTAAAATTTGGCTTAAGCTCTGAGACCAAACAGTGTATGTCTTCCAAACTGGGTGGGTGGCTCATCCTAATTCTGGATATGCAGTTTATTCACATACACAACTAATCCCTTTTTGAATCCTGTTAAGTTCTTGTTCTCCTTAGTATCCTGTGGCAATAAGTTACAGAAACTAATTGTGCTTGTGTTGAGCTCCCTTGATCCACTTTCCTCATGCTTGCTTTCAGTTCTAAGTGTTGTTCAGAGAAGCTCAGTTTCAGGTTTTTTCTTGGTTGTATTCTTTTTGGTGAGACAGTTTGTGTTCTCATTGCAACCAGGGGCTCAGGGCTGGAGGGTCACATCTGGACTCCAATGGCTGGATGTGGTTCTGCCTTTACTGGCAGAGGGGCAATGGAAATCAGAAACGTTTCTGGTGCATTTTCACTCCCTCTCTTGGTTTGCAATCAAGGCCCTTCTGCCCAGAAAGCTGGGAAGAGCTGAGGATGGAGTCAGCAACCCCCTATATCAAAGAATAAGTAATTGTGTGCTCAGTTCTAGCGATGCTCTACTTAATAACTAAACAATAATTAGCTTTGTAGTTTTGTTACTATACTTATAATAGCCCCCATTAAAGTTATGGGGTTTTTAGGCAGTTATGGCTTACAGGGTAATTAACGAGCAAGAGGCTTTATTGCTACCTTTATTTTCAGCCAGTGCTTTGCAAGGGTTCTCTGCCAAACAGCAGCTCCTGCTCAGGACCCTGTGGGGCTGCCCGTGGGCAGGGTAGGGCGTCCCATGGGCCCAGAAGGGGAGCTTGGTGCTCCTGGCTGCTCATGGAGGATGTTTGTTTGGGTGGCTTGGAGCTTTTGGTGTTGTTCCATCTAGGCAGCATTTCTATTCTGGTGAGTGATGTGTATGCACACAAGCTCAGTGAAACCCATTCTTCAGTTGAATGTGCTCCAAATCGCTTCTGTTCAGTAGGAGGAAGCCGAGGAGCAATGATGTGGGGCTGAGCAGCCCTACAGAAAGAGAGAAGGGGAAAGTGATGCAAAACCCGACTGCAGAGCAAGCCAACGTTCCCTATGGCAAGTGTCAGAGCTGACGCCAATTAGCCAGGTTTAAAAAAAGAAACCATCCACGTTTAATAAGCCAACCCGTTACTAACGCATGGCTCTGGGATTTATTAAAGCTTTTTTATTAGATGAATGCCCTTCTGATATCACCATGCCTTGCCACCATTGCCCTCTGCCGGAGGACGAGGAGGCTCTCCCACCACGTGAGCCTTTGTCAGATCCTTCTCCAGCAAGTTCAGGGTTTCCAACCTATGCGAAACACCTTTGGTTTAGGAATGTTTTAACTCCAGGATTGCTTACAGTTGAGCTGGTGGTTTGTCTATTTTGCTTTGGTTTTCAATACTTTCTCTTTTCATATAGACAAATGGAGTACGTTCTTTTTAATTAATTCACATTTAAATATGTTCCCCTTCCTTTTCCTGGAGGAGATAGCAGAAGCCTACAGTGAAAACTGGAGACAAGCCAGGTTTTGTTCTGAACCTTTCAATGGGAAAAAGAGAGTGGTATTAGGAGGGGAACGGATGCCTGGATGAGAAGCATTGTTTTCCCCACAAACAACAGCAAACATCCTGGGGCAGCCTTGGCAGTAAGGGGCTGTCAGGCTGCAGGGTGAGCCCTCTGCTTTGAACTGCCAAGCTGTGACTTTCGTCAGCAGCAGCATGAAATCAGAGGCGACCATCTATTTCCTCACTGGTGTTGTTTGGAGGAGAAAATGGATTTCACCTCTTGCAGCCTTAAGGTGTGATGGAGGGAGGGAGCGTGGTGGTGTCACCAAGGCCCTGGCAGTGTTAGCTGCTGTGAGCTGCAGGCCCAGAGAGTTCTGACTGTGTCCTTCAGTCAGTTTTCTTGGGGTTATCAATAAAACATTGCTTTGTGAATTCATGCTGAGCACCTGGAGTGCTGTGCGTGCTGGGGGGGTGCAGAAATGTGGGTGGCAGCTGCAGGTGGGATGCATTCCCATGGCAGAGCACTGACCCTTGGAGCCTGACCAGGGCTGGGAGCAAAGCTGTGCTGGCACTGGAGCACCAAGTGACAGATGTGTGACCACGGAGCTGCTAGGTGCTCTGTGGCAAATTAAAAGGAACTGTTGCTGCAGAAACCGATGGACAAATGGTTGGAGCCTGCTGGCTTTCCTGTTGTATGCACAGAAATCAGAGCGCTGCCCCAGCCTAAAGGTGCACGTTCTCCATCACACGAAGCCCAGAATTGGACTGTCCTGTGGGAAGATGTGGATAATTTGGGACTGGATTAGCAGGAGGCAGGGAAAGGTAAAAGTACTGGCGTTGGGGAAAGCTGCCCTTGGCAAATGGGCATTTGGTGTGTGCTGGCCCATGCAGGCACCTCTTTGCAGGGTCACTGTCTGATACCTGCTGTGTTTTCAGAGAGGTGCTGCAAGGTGCTTTTCAGAGCCACCCTTCTGTGCCCTGTCAGTGTGCTCAGAGGGTGTTTCTGGCTTTAGCAGGGAAATCAGAGGATACCATTGCTCGGTGCCTTCTGTTCGGGCACTATCAGAACGGCAGGATGAGGCCAGATGCTCTTTCCTGAGGGCACCATGTGCCTTGGCAGTGTGAGGCAGGCGGGATCTCTCTTGCTTTAGTAGTTGGAAGGGGATGGAGCAGAAGGCTGATGTCTGCTGGAACAATTCCTCCTTCTCCCTGCTTTATTTTGTCTGGACAAGGCTGATTTCTCCAGTTCTGAAAAAATTAAGGACAAACCCACGTTGCCAGGAGATGCTTCCTAGAAAGCCTGCAGGCTGCCCAGCTGCCCAGCACTTATCTTGGGGCTCAGAAAGGCTCCTTGCCACTGATTCCCCGAACCAGGCTGTAGGAAGCCCCATTCCCAGTAGAAGGGACATGTTTGGTGGCTGGTTTAGGGTTTTGTTGTTGTTTCCTGGCACAGGTTTTGGTGTGGGTATAGATCTGTCCCCAGAGAGAGCCCTCCTGGAACTGGCTGGGAATTTTTAGTTGTGTGTGTAGGTTTTGTATAGGTTAAAGTAAAGGAGTCCCCAAAACATTTGTTGAGGATTTGCATGTGCATTTGAAGGACAAAGGCCTATCTGTGTTTTCCCTACCCCATGTTTTCCCTGGCAAACGAACACCTCTGTGATTAAACTGCTTATCTGGAAGAGTCAGAATCCATCCAGCGACTTGAATACCACTTGCTTGTACCTTAAAGGGACAGCCCATCCATTCCTGGAGCCATTACACTTCAAGTCTTCCCCTGGGCTTGGTGCCAGAGCCTCACTGTGCAGCCCAATGGTCAAGGCTCAGACAAGGGAGATTCAGATCAATCTGAGCAGGGCTAAACTGTGGATTTGAGCCCGGATCTCTCCATGACTGCCCAGTGCAACTGAGAAAAAGCAAGCTCCAAGGCTGTCAGGAAAAACATCCGCAAAGCAGCATCTGTATGCATCACATCCATAACCTGGGCTTGAGGAGCTCCCCTGTGATTTAAGGAGGGAATCTGATGGTTTCTAGGGCACTGCAGGGAAAGAGAAAAGCCAGGGAGCTTGTGGCTATGAGGGTGAGAGATTAGGGCTTTTGCCCAGCATGGAGACCTCCAGCCTTTGTCTGCAGTAATCTTTGGGCTCTCTTGAGTCTGCAATGCAGCCCTGGAAGCAGCAGGCTAATGTATTCCCCCACCAGGGAACAGTGGTACTAAACTGCTATCCATGTTTGCAAACTGTCCGCCGTGTGTATCCCTGCTAAGTGATGTACTTCTCTTGCCAAGATACTGGGATAAAATACAGTCTGCTTAAATCTTGTATGTGCTTGTATTGAATCAAACTAAGCTATTGTGGCAGTTTAATATACTCCGCTTGCAACACCTCCAAGATGGAAGAAACGAACCTGAACAGGCCATTGGAAGCCTGAGTTAAAATTGGCTGCATCAGAGGTGCCAGTGGGATGGTCAGAGCTGAGGGATTACAGAGACAGGCAGCATGTGGGGCTGCTGGCTTTGCTGCAGCCGTATCCCTATGAGCACAAGCACAGCCTTCCCTCCAGTTGTCCCATGGAGGGTTGGGGCTGCTGGTCAGAGCACTTACTGCTGCGTCAGGCAAGTGGTGCGGCTGGTGTGGCTTCTGTTTCCTCCCAGGCCTGTGCTTAGTGAGCTGTGGGACAACTGGCTTGGAGGTGAAGGGCCCTTCTGGGCATGGATCAGAACTGCTACTGAGCAAGTGCTGCTCGGCTGATGCGGTGGGCTTGCTCAGTGAGTAGATGGGAAAGAAAAAGGAGCCCTGAGCACCCAGGAGGCATCCATCTCTCCTGGAGGGGCTGGACGCGTTTCTGTCGCTCGCTGCCCTGGTTTAGTTTGCTTTTCTCAGGGAGGATTGGTGAGCTTTCTGGAGCAGTTCCCTGGTACTTTTCTCTGCCTGATATCTTTGCTTTGTGTTGCAGGTTTCCTGCCAGATGGGTGCCTGAGGTTCCTGCTGGAGGGCCCAACAGCATCCCATAGAAGCGCTCTCCTGGTCCCAGCAGCTGAGGCCCCTCCAAACCTGCTTCTGCAATGGGTGGGTTGTAAGCACTGGTAAGACCTACGAGTCGTGTCGCCTTCGCTGCTCTCTCCCTCTCTCGCGTTCTCTTTCTCTGTCCCTGTTCCTTCCTGCCCATTTATTTCTGTTCTCCATTTGCTCTGCTGTTCTGTCTCTGGGGTTTTCACTGTTAGGTAATGAGGAGCTGTGGGTCCAGTCAGTCTTGGAGATGCCGAAGAGACGAGACATCCTGGCTATCGTGCTGATAGTTCTGCCCTGGACGCTACTAATCACCGTCTGGCACCAGAGCACCATTGCTCCACTGCTTGCAGTGCACAAGGGTGAGAGAAATCAAACCGGCCCATGCCAAGTCTGCATCACTCCCTCGTCCTCATCTCTCTCATTTCATTTCTCCATGGCAGCCATTCCCATCTCAGCTCCTGGTCCATGCTCATGCAGAAGCTTCCCCACTTCTGCTGCAGGAACGGCCCTGTGCTTTCCAGGGGTCTTTGGAGACATCAACCTCCAAGCCGCAGGGTACGCTCCTTACTCTTGGAGAGCTCTTCCCCACCTATATCCAGATTCAGTGGAACAGAGCACAGAAGGAAAGTACTTTTGTTTTATTTCCCAATGATCTCTCTTTTTTTTTTCTTTTAAGGAAGGAGTCTTTCTTCTTGGCTGTTCCTTTCTCTGGGCATCCTTCTGGGGAAGAAGGCCAGCTCATTTTCTGTCTCTAGGACCTTACTCTGGGAGATTTTCTACCCTTTTCATTTTAATGTTCACTCCCATCCTCAGCAGTTTCTTATTCTTTTGCTGAGCCATTGGAATTGTCAGAAGCTCAGAGTCCATCCTGAAAAGTTTTACCTTTTCCTGGAGGACTTGGACCCCCACAAGTCTCAGGACAGCACTTAAGAGAAAGGAGACTGATCTCTCCAAAAGGTGAACAGTATTTCACAGGATGTGAGATCTCTATTGGGCTCCAAAATGGGATTTAGAAAAATATCCTGTCTGTATGGTGATTTGAATTGGTGCCCCTAAAAACTAGGACCAGTTTGTTGGTGAATGGTTGTGGACATTGAAGTCACAGCACAGAGACAGCCATGCTGTGACCTGGTCCTGAACTTGCTGGTGCCCTTGGTAAGGTGCTTCCTCTGAGAGTGCTTCTATGAGCGCTCAGTGGAAAATGAGTGGTGAAAGAGACCGACCTGAAGCTCTTGGGAGAAATTGTTATGTGCTTGTAATGCATTTCTGAGATCCTTTGGTAGCAGGTGCTGAAAATGAGATGTGCATCTATATGCTAGTGGGGACACAGTGACAGTGGATAAATGTGCCAGGATTTACAGTGGAGGGTTTGATCTGGGAGGGTTTGCAAACTATCTCTTCTTCAGGCTCCATGCTGGCTAATTACTTTATGCCCGTATCCAGTGCATTTTGCTTTTGTTTTTGATTTGATTCTGGTGCTCTGTGCTGTCAGAGAGCTGTGTTATGTGATGCAGATGTGCTTCACCCTCTATAGGGCCTGATCCCCACTTGTGCAGGACACTTTGGTCCACAAACACGCACCCTCCCTCCTTCAAAGCTGCCGAGTACAAATTCCTCATTCATTTCAGGGCTGTATCAAAGGCTGTGCTGCTATATGTGTAACATGCTGTGAAAAACACACAGGTAGTACCCTGCTGGGTCAGATCTGATGGCAGTCTATTCCTGTTCTTTCTCATCTGAAGTCCCCAGCAGCAGCTGGCTTTGCAAAATCTGGGGCTCTTAAGAATCAGGCACCCACTAGAAAGCAGCTGGCGTACCTCAGAGTGGTGGTGCCCCTTTATCTCTCTCAGTTCCTAACTGTGGATGCTGGTGTTCCTGCTACTCTGCAGTAGTGTGAACGTGTGAAAGTTGCAGGCTGGAAAAGTGACAAATGCGTGATTATTTATTTATTCATTTATTTATTTTAACCTTGTGCTGACTGTGGCCAAGTCTTGCTTTGCAAGGGTTTGAGTAGTTTGGGTTGGTTTATGCTCTAAAGACTCTGTTTGCTGTACAGAGTTGCTTTATTGTTCAGATCCACTATACTGAATGGGCTGTCATGTTCAGAAACTGGTAGAAGTCAGTCAGAGGCCCATAAAGCCTCGGCAGGAAAAAGCCTACAATGAGGGGCTGTATTTCTGCTCTGTGTTTCTAGATTTGAAGAGTGCCTTGCCCTTGCTTCCCTGTGCCACATCCCAGGCCTGTCAGGAAGCAGCAGGGTATGCAGTGTCCTGCCAGCAATGCTGCTGGGAGCTTCAGGTGATAGAGGGACTCCATGTGTTCCACAGCTCCAGCCCAGTTTGATTCCCCACTTCCCAGTCCCAGCGCAACGAGTTCTGCCCTGCTGAGCGTGGTGCCAAGAGCGCTGGAGCTCTTTGGGAACAACAGATCGTCAGTCCCTGTTGCTAATTTCATTATCTAGATCTAATTGCTCTACAAGTCTGTCTCCTCTGGGCACTCAGCTGCACCGCTGTCCTGGGCTCTCAGGCTCTGATGGATGCAGCTTTTCTAGCAGCAGGAACTTTGTCTCTCACGGGTGTTTGTCCCTGATTCCTTTATTAATTTGTGTACTTATTTATTCAAGCCTCCTTTTGAGCTTGTTTCCTTTCCTCTCAGGCTGTGGGGGTGACCTCCTGCTATCAGCACACAGCCTGCTGACTCATCTGGGGGGACGGGGGGTGTCGGAGGACCGAGTCCATGCGGTTTTTCTTCTCTCGTACCCTTGCTCAGATGATGGTGGTGACTCCCGGCGTGATCTCGCTGCAGGCTTGGACTCCAAGGAATACTGCTTGTCGGACCGGGACATTGTGGAGGTGGTGAGGACAGAATATGTTTATACTCGCCCACCCCCGTGGTCAGACACCCTTCCCACTATCCACGTCATTACACCCACCTACAGCCGGCCCGTGCAGAAAGCAGAGCTGACGCGCCTGGCCAACACCCTGCTGCATGTGCCAAACCTGCACTGGATCCTGGTGGAGGACTCCCAGCGGCGCACACCGCTCATCACCCGGCTGCTACGGGACACGGGGCTCAACTACACCCACCTCAACGTGGAGACCCCTCGCAACTACAAGCTGCGGGGAGACATGAGGGACCCCCGCATCCCCCGGGGGACCATGCAGAGGAACCTTGCCCTGAGGTGGCTGAGAGAGACCTTTAACAAAAACAACAGCCAGCCTGGGATTGTTTACTTTGCTGATGATGACAACACCTACAGCCTGGAGCTCTTTGAGGAGGTAAGACCCTGCTGGAGGAGCCCCAGCCTGCTGATCTCAGTATGTGGGCTGCGAAAACTGCTGTATACATTCTCTTCTGTGCTCTGGATCAGTCCCATGTGCAGTGGTTCCACTGCAGTTGTCCTGAATGTTTCTGGGCAGGGGATCTTTAAGGTCCCATCCAACCTAAGCCAATGTATGTTTCTGTGATTCGTCTGGGGCTTGGTGACATGACTGCAGTGTTTGTGCTGGTGTCTAAAGCAATGCAAATTAATGGGGATCCCAGCATAGCTTATGGCACGTAGTCAGGAGGCACGCATCCATGCTCCAGTCACTGGAGTCGTTGGCAGCGTTGAAAGGGATCTTGTTGGCCTTGCTCACACACTCCCAGCTTCTGCAGTTGGGGCTTTTAGCTGTGCTGCTTTCCTGAGAGAGCAGGAATAAAGCTTTTCTCTTGGTACCATAAACCCAAGCTAAACACTTCCATGAGGAGGAGGAGTGGTCATCACGAAGCAGCAGCTAGCTGATGGGATCTGAGCAAGAAGAACATGTAGGTAGTTTTAATTTATTATCAAGAGAGCTGATGAAGAGCTGCTTATGCTGTGGAGAGCCCTGTTAGGGTTGGAACATCATCTGCTGTCCTTTGTGCTTGGGCAGGCACACGTGCCCAGCAAGGGAACCCCCAAATCCCACCCTGGAGGAGGTTCCAGACTGATCTGCTGTCATCCTTTGCCTTCTCTGCCATCCCTACATACTGCACTTGGCTGTCTGTTCATCCCTGTTTCTTCTTGTTTGAGGAGTCCCTGGGGTATCTGCTCCTTGCTTGCTGTTTGCGTTTGTTTGCTCTCATCCCAGCATGTTCAGTGGTTAAACTCTGTAGCTGTCAAGAACCCAACGCCTGCTCTGCACAGCAGAGAACTCTGCCGTTGCAGAGTGGTGCCAGCACAGCACTCGCAGGATATCTGGTTCAGAGATGTTCTGTGCACTTGTCTCTGGATTGCCAGGCTTACGAGGAACATTTGACATCGCCTGCTTCATATCCTGGAAACATGGAGCCCTTTATGCTGCCTGGAGAGGGCTTTGGAGGGAGATGTGTACCTCACCTCTCAGGAAAGAGCTGTTCCCATACTCTCTGAGGCTGAGATCCTGCAACGTGGGACAAAAAAAGTAGGATTCCCTCCTTCTCCAGTGGCTGCCAGTTCCTATACCAGGGATCTCCTGTTTATTCACTCCATACATGCCCCTTTCTCTTCCCTGATGGCTCTCACTTCAGCTTGGATAGCCACAGAATATACGCACTTTTAATGCTGAAAGCAAACTCAAGCTGAATGTCTTTCTTCCACTTTCCTCCTTTGAGGCTGGTGCTGGCAGCATCTTCAGAGAGACGCTGCATTAATAAAGCAGAAAGGGTTCCTTCATTCACCCGTGTGCTTTGCTGAGAGAGCCTTCTCCTCTCTGATACAGAGCTGCAGTTAAGGTTACATGGAGCCAACAGAACGTGCTGTGAAATGCAGAAGACACGCATTATTGTTCCCTGTGGACAGGCACTGCTGTTAGCGTGTGTATAATGCAGAAGGGCAAGTGCCAGAGCTCTTCTGGTCTCGTTTGCAGTAATTAGCAGTGATGAGATTAGCTCTGGGAGATCCCTGATCTAAGAGCCTGGGCTGAGAGCAGAGCGTGAGGCTGAGGCTGCCAGAGAGCAGGACCAGCCATTGGGAGTGCAGGCAGATGGGTGTTCTGATCATCTGCACTGGCAGGCACACACATTGAAGTGTCCCCTGACAGCTCCTATCTATTTCTAGTGACCCCTTTGGGAGCAGAGGCATTTAATGTCCTTCTGGGTAGCAGGGCCAGCTGCAATGCCCTGTCCTGTGTGCTCCTCCCAACCCTGCTCTTGTGAGCTCCCACTAACCACACTTTTAGCTTTCCTGTGTCTCATCGCTTGAGACTGCAGCTTTCAGAGAAAACACCTTTCTTCCAAGATACGTTGCTCCCAGATTCCTTGGGCAACATGCTTTTCCCCTGGCTGTCCTGACTTGCCCTACCATCCATGCAGAGAACTGATGTCCCACAGCTCTGAAGGCCTTTTGACAAAATAAAATAAAATAAAATAAAATGAAATCACTTAAACCTCAGTTGCTTGCAGCTTTGTTCCTAGCAGCTGAGCTCACGCTTGGTCCCATGGCTGTGAGCCCCTTCCCAAAACACCACGTTTCTGCAGCCCCAGGATGCACATCCTTTTACAGGTGAGTGATGCACAAAGCTCCGTTGCTCCAAGTCACAGCGGTGCCTGGGAGCATCACCCAGGCTTCCAGCCCCACGTGTCTCCTGCAGGACACTGGCAAGGTGGAGGTGTTTTGCTGGAGGTGTGTTTCCCCTCCTTCAGCACACCCCCACCGTGCCCTTCTCTCTCCTTTGCCTCCAGATGCGCAGCACCAGAAAGGTGTCGGTGTGGCCAGTAGCCTTCGTCGGTGGCTTGCGCTACGAATCCCCCAAAGTGAACGCAGCAGGGAAGGTCTACGGCTGGAAAACTGTGTTTGACCCCCATCGGCCCTTTGCTATAGACATGGCAGGGTTTGCTGTGAACCTCAGACTGATCCTGCAGCGATCTCAGGCCTACTTCAAACTGCGAGGAGTGAAGGGAGGCTACCAGGAGAGCAGCCTGCTGCGGGAGCTGGTCACCCTGAACGACCTTGAGCCGAAAGCTGCCAATTGCACCAAGGTATGGTCTCTTCCTCATACATGGGATGTGAGGACCTGGTGAGAGGGCATGCCGATGGTTCTTGCCCTAAAGACTCTGCAGTCCAATATGAGAGGCAGCAGATGGATATCTATGTGGGATGACGGGAGTGTGCGAGATGCAATGAGACAATGCTGGTTAGCGTGACCGGCATCAATCAGAGCACATCAGCAACAGAGGAGCTGTCAAGTGCTCTGAAAGCTTTGTGAGCGGGTGGCAGGCACTGGACGGACTTTATCTGGGATCAGAGACTCCTGTGTAGTGCTCACGCCTCTGTCTGTAGCAGGCAGCCACCCAACCTCTGTTGTGCAATTATCCCAAGAGGACTTTTCTTTTTTTACAAATGAGCTGTTGCTGCAGACAGAGACAGTGTTGGGCCATCTATTCCAGGTCCTCATCCACTTCAGAGCTGAAAGCTTTTCCTGCAAAAAGCTCTGGCCTTGCCCTGCAATTAGGTCTTTCTGCCTCTTTCCCCCCCCTTACTGCCCTGCTAGCAAATGCTGGCTGGAAATTAGTGTGCTTTCAGCAGATCAAGGGAGATGCCCAGGTTGCTTTTAGGCTGCACAGAAGAGTTGGGGCATTGAGAGGAAAGGGAGGAAGGAAAAGGCTGGAGGTAAGAAATGGTGCTGTCAGACAGGCTGCCGTGCCAGTGTTGCACGCAGAGCTGCAGGTCAGAGCTGGAGGGGAAGCAGCAATTGCTGCCCAGGATTTGAGGCAGACTGTGTTTCTTTTTCTGGCACGGCTGTAGGGATCTTACAAGGGTCCTTGTTGAGGACTGAATGCTGTCTGTTCCTGGCAAACTCTGAGTGCAGCTTTGCAGTTTGGGCTTTGCCTTTCTGCTGTTAGCCATTGCCAGCAGCCTCCATTTTCGAATTGCTGTTTTGTTCACCCTTCTGATGAGGAGGAGAGTCTGAACAAGCAGCAGAGGAGGACAAGAGGTGGCTGTGCTTTGGGATCCCCAGCATGAGAGTACAGACTCTCAATGGGCCAGTGTGCTCCTAGCAAGTGTCTGCTCACAGCTGTAAAGCTCTGCAGTCAGATTTACATTACAGATTATGATGTGCTCAGGTACCATCGTTAAGAAGGGATCAGAGAACTGTGTAACAGACATCTGCTCTCCAGAAGGGCTGCCCTTGCTGCATAGTGCCGTAATGTTCAGCTGCCTTCAGCCCACAGATGCTCAGTCCTGCAAAAACCTTACGCTTTGATTGAAGATATACATTCTGTTTGTCTTCTTAATTTGATATCCACCAAAAATGAAGAAGAAAATGAAAGAAGTCAAAGTGAATTGCCCAGGCTGGTTAGCAGTAGGGTTGTGAGGGAACGTGGCTTTACAAGCGTACTGTATATTTCTGTGTCCTGCTGCTTCTATGTTTCCCCCACAGCACACAAAGCTCTCTTCAATCCGTTGACACATTACATCTGACAGGATCAAGGTCTAAAAGATCTCGTGTTCCCATAAGGTTGATGTAACTGGGACATATTCTGCTCCCTGTTTCCTATGAGTGCCTGAGGAAATGAGCTGCAGCGCTCAACCAGAGCCCTTAAAGGACAGAGACCTTGTCAGCGGCCTCAGCTATTCAAACAGCATGAGAGAGCACAGACCACAAAATACAAGGGCACTGCAAATGATGTGCTGCTTGTTCCAACTGCCCATGCAGCTCCTTGTTTCCCCAGATGGATGCAGTCGTACAGTTCTCTGGGTGAGGCAAGCTTTTGTGCTCTCAGGGGATTCTGGTAGCTAAAAGCAGCCATTCCTCCACTCTTCTTCCCTCCTGGCTGAGTGTGATGTGGGATTAAAGCTGTGGGCTCACAGCCTGGCATTTAGGTGAATGTTGCTGAAGGGAACTGGCTGGCAGCCGTGTGCTGGGCAGGGATTGCTGGGCGGCAGCGTGTGTGTGGGCAGTGTGAAATGCCACCATGGGAATGGCACTGCTGTCACACACAGGCTGAGAACAGGCAGCAGAGAGTGCAGAGAGTGTCCCTGTAATGCCTGCACCCCAAACCAATCCTTTAGGTCTGGGAACCAGCTCTGAAAGAGGGATAAATCCTTTTGCATCAGAGGAGAGCAAGCCTGGCCCTGCAGCAGCCAAGGAATTACGCAGCAAAAGGGACCAGGGCTGGCTGCTTCATGACATCACAGCTGTAAAACAGCTAAAGCTGACTGCTAATGGACAGGAGGGAGAGAAAAACTCAGCCTAAGGCAAGAAAGCTTGTAAAGGAGTGCTTTGCTTCCTCCTGATCTTACCCTGTGGTGCTGCAGAGTAGGCAGGGAGTTGGCTTTGTGAGCTCTTTGTGTTCCTTCCCTTTCAAGGGCTGAGCAGCGGGATATGGGTAGAGCAGATCTGCCCTTCTTTTGCTTAGATTTCTCCTGAAATTGGGCTGCTGGGTTGGTGTGGTTTGCAGTGAGCAGTCAGTACCCTGGCTGCTGTGTGACAGCACTTTGTTGGTAAAGCTTCACACACAGTGCCTGAGCTGGTGATTTTTAGGGGACGTGCAGAACCTGGAGGGCTCTTTCTGCCTGGTTGAGCCCTGATGAGTCTCCAGAACTGCTGTGCCAATTCCATCCCCCTGTAGCAAAGCTGAAAGCTGTCTGAGCCATCTGAGCAGTTTGGGTTTTGCAGCACCCTGCTTGCTCCAGGACCTTCAGACCATGTGGTGGCTTTGGTAACTCAGAGTGGACCACCAGAACCCTTTTCTGTGTTCTTGAGCTCTGCTTGTAACACCTATCACCTTCAAGGTGGTAGAACTGCATAGCTGGCAATTACTGTTTTAAGTAGCAGCTATTGCTGCCTTCTATGGAGGGCTTTTGGTACTGGAAATCCCGTGACCCCCTCCTACTACAGGCTGACTTGCCTGCTTAATTTCCTGTTGGAAGACAGTGAAAAAGCTTGCAATGGCAATGAAACCTTATAGTCTTAGACCTGTTCCAAGCCTCATGATTCTGGATGACAAGGCTGTCAATGACTGATGTGTGTTGCAGTAGTGAGGATTTGTAAAGGGAATGCAGGTGACCTGCAGGAACCACTGCCCAGGGGAGATCAGGCACTCAGACCTCCCCTTTTCTCCCATGCAAACTGCACGTTTGCACAAACCAAAGCTGCTCTGAGACATCAAACCAACGCTTGTGGAAAGCATCAAGCTGAGAGCAAAAGCAGGTGTTGCTGTGTAAAATGGTGCTCTCCCTCTCATATTAAAGAGCGCTGTGTGAGAAACAGTAGAAGCTGCTGCATTGAGCTGCAAACTCTGAGAATCAGTCAGTTGTGGTCAGTTAATTCCACATAACTGCCTTTTTGGCACTCGGATTTAACAATGTCAAAGCGGGATGCAATTGAAAAGAAAAGCTATTAATCTGTATTTGTGCCTTGGTGCCTGGAGCTGTGGGAGCCTGAGCCCTGTTGCTGGCGGTGTTTGTATGGGAGCAGCTTTTCCCTGCTCCTGCTGGAAAGCAGAACTGCCCACCAGCTTGCTTTCCAGCACCTGCACTGCATTAAGGCTTGGCTATTCTATTTGTTGGACGAGGAGCTCGTAGCTGATGCTGACGTTGCCTGGAGAGCTGCTTGGCGAGACCTGTTTGCTTTTGCTTTTCATTAGGAAGTAAATCAGTAACTGCAGCAGTGTAATAGCAGTGGCTTCTTGGGAAGGTGGGGGGCTCCTGTTTAACTAGAAGGGCTCGAGGAGTGCTTTGTTCACCCTTTAGAAGCAGAGCGCGGCCTCATTTTTCAGAAAAGCAGGGAATGGGTACAAGGCAGTTTGCAGATATTTGGATTGAATGCACCGAGCATTGTCATAGCAACAAGAGGGAGACCCCTGCGAGGAGGAACCATCACTGAGCAGGTGAGAGGGAGCAGGAAGCCACATCTCTGAAGGGACAAAACTGCTGCCAGCAGTACAGCTTGTAGTGCTGAGCACTGAGCAGAATTGAGTCTGGTGAGGGGAGAGCGTTTCCAGAGCTTGGAGCATGGCATGGCTGAGAGGAACTATGGAGCTATAATACCTCCCCCACCACAGATGTCAGGCAACCTCTTCCGTTTGTTTTTTTTGTTTGTTTGTTTGTTTTCCAGTTCTTTTTTGCAGGTGTTGATTTACATTGAGCTTTACTGCTCAGATCTTAGTAGAACTTACATCCCCGTGTGCTTCAGTGCTGGTTTCAGTAGGTTGGAGAGGGGCCCTGAAAGTGATGCAATGCATTGTACCTGGTCTGGAATAGCAGGAGCAGCACTGGGGCTGGCGTTTTGGAGGAGATGCGCATGGGGAGCCCTGAGCATGTGGGAGCAATGGGGTATTCTGTACCAAGCTGATGGCTCTGGTACCTCTGAGAGCAGAGGTGGCAACAGACAACCAGAGCAGCAGTAAGGACTTCTCCCATCAGTGGCACTTTATCACCTCTTCAGGGTCATGAAAGAATTTAAAAAGAAGTAGTGTAATGAGGTTAGCAAGCAGTCACAATGTGAGCCAATGGGGCAAGAGATGGCTTTTCCATTCTGCACCCAGCAAACTGCTCCACGCTGCCCAAGGGTGGGCTAACACTGTAAGCAAGAGCCAGAGTCAGGATCCTGACTGTGGTAGACGTGCATCTGATCCTCTGGCAATGAGGGAACGGCCTTACATCATTGGCAGGACTGATGAGCCTTTGGAGGAAGATTGTTGGTAATCACATGGAAGGAGCAGGTTAATGTCCCAAGACAGTACACTATAAGATAGGTAATTTCTGTGCACTGTGCATTCTGGGTAGCAGCAGGCCAACCTAAATGAAGTTTTATGCAAAGCTCCTTGCAGCTGTGAATGCACCATTAGGCCCCAGGGTAGATGGTTAAATTGCACTATTGATTTAATGTGCAAGAATGTTTGTTAGTGCAGTGAAGGGATGCAGCTAATGACTTCTGGTTTCTTCAGATTTTAGTCTGGCATACGAGGACAGAAAAGCCTGTGCTGGTGAATGAGGGGAAGAAAGGATTCACAGATCCCAATGTGGAAATCTGAGCGTGCACAGCAGAGTGGAGACCAACACCAGGTGAGAGCTCATGTTCTGGAACTGCAAGGAGAAGCAGCAAAGGAGGAAAATACCAAACAGTGACAGAACACAAACCACACACAGTCAGTGACAATAAGGGAGGGTGTAGGTTAAACCCCAAATGGGGCATTATGTATCTATTTGCCTAAGGTCAGCATATAGTGTCTCTGGATACCACTGCTAGAGGAGAAAGGAGAGGAGGAAAAAGCAAACATGCATGCTGGTGGCTGACTTCTCCTTTGTTTGTTCGTGCCCTGGCTTTTCACCTTTAATTACCTGAGCATTCTGGTGCATTTAAATCATCTGTATGTCCAGAGTGCACCCTGCAGTCGGTTTGCTAGAGTGAAGGATGAAATATTTCCTCATACCTGCATCCAGACTGCTGCTCTTCATTATTATGGGGGGAAAAAAATATATGCACAACTCCCTTCAACCAGGGTGCAGAACCAGGCCTGGAGGGGAGAGAAGATTGCTGCTTGTTCTCTTTTCCTCTCAGACACAGAGAAGTCAGAGCAGCAAGGGGTATGGGAGAGGGGAGGATCTGCTCAGCAGCAGTGTATTTTTAACATAATGAGTTCTTACAGCACGTTCCCTCGGGCTGCAGTGATGGAGCCCTGCCTGCTGCAGGGCCTGCGCTGTGGCCGTTGGCAGGACAGCAAAGGAAAGCCTGCACTGCACGCTGTCTGTGCTATATATAGCAGCTTTGCAGAGAGGCCATAGCTCTTCAGTGCTGTCACAACTGCTTTCCACCAACACCCAGTTGCCTAGCAGCAGTAGTCACAGCTCTGCAATCTGAGATGGGTTTTGGGTTAGCTCCAAGGGGTGGCAGCTCACTGCAGTGAGGCAGAGGGGTAATAAACATGCTGGTTGTGTCTCTGTTGCAGAAGATTTCCTCATGCACAGCCTCCAAGGTTTCTCCCCACAGCATACAGCCAGACATGCAGTAGCCAGGACCTCTGCTGACTTCCAAGAGTTTTAGTGTACTGAAAGCAAGCAACACTGCATACATAAACTACCCGGATCCCCCCGCCCTTCCTCCTGGACTCTGAGCAGAACCTGATGCTCTGGGGGTGGAAAAAAAGCACAGAAATACAGGACTGAACTTCCCTACAGGAGCAGCTGCCCTGCGAGACACTCGGTTTGGGAGAAGTGCACGACACACTGAAGATGCAGCCCAGCTGGAAGGGCAGCCCAGACTGAGCAGGCTGTTATACAGGACCTGAGAGCAAGGGTGAGAATGCACACATGAGTATGCTGGCCCCGATGACTTGTCCTCCCCAGACATGCACCCTGTGGCTGTGTGTCCAACAGCCAGAGCAGCTCCCTGCTGACAGAGGGGGCAGCTGCCTTCCAAGATGGCACCTCAGCCCTTAATTCTAAACCTACTTTAATCAGTGTTTATGATGCTGCACAAGACAGGAAGGCTTTGGGGGAGAGTGAAAAGCAAGGCAGGTTAGAACAAACCCACTTGTACGTCTGATTCTTGTATCCCCTTCTTCCCCTTCCATTTGGCTCCATGGTTTGGAGAGTGCTCTATGCTCTTGCACGGAGTTACATGCACAGCATGCAGCCCTTGATGCTAGAAGAGCTGTGAGGGGTTTTTAAAGAGATTACTGTGGCCCTGCACCATAGAACTAAGATCTGAGCCCAGATGAAGTATTATTTAGCTCTCATTTGGTTAACGTGAGCATCAGGTATGGGATTCTCAGAAGGGTGCTTCTACATAAAGCCAAATTTCTACTCTTAAAAAATGAAGTTAACTGCTTAAAAATAGGGATTGAACAAGAAAAACTTATTTTAGTACATCTACCATCTGCGTGGAGTGTATCCTTCAGCCCTAGCTCCTCTTTCAGGTCCAGACTGGTGTGCAAAGCCACATTGGAGCCAATCAGGAGTTAACTCGTGGGAACAGAGCAGCACCCTTGTAAAGGGTAGGTTGAAAAACTAAGCAGAATTATTAGTTGCCTCTTCCCTGCTCTGTGACTTCAAAGGCACTGATGAAAGGGTATTCTCTAATGAAACTGTACCCTGCTCCTCAGCAAGAGGCAGGTGGCTGAGCAGTGCAGAGAAGGAACCTGGGTGCTGCTGCCTGGCTGACTCTGGAAACAAAGTTGCTGAGGAAGAAATTCAGGTACAGCTCAGCTCTTCTCCCTACCGGCACCCTCCCATCACAGCTGTCAAACATCTGATCAATCCCCACTGCCCCAATTCTTTCAGAAGGGTCTGAAGCACAATTTTCCCTTTGAGTCAAGGGAAAGTGTAATCCCAGATTTGGTTCTTTTTAGCCCTAACGCATAGAATTGTTTAAGTACTACAGGTGGGATTGTTAGCTTCAAAGTGCAGAATTCTCCCCTTGGTCTGATGGCTGTGCATTCCCTAATATTTAAAGAAACATTTGGGTGTTGTTTTTTTTAAGTTATTTTCTCCCACTGTCTTTCAGAATTGATGGGGGAAAGCTGCATTGCTCAGCTCTGTCACAAAGCCTTGCTAAATAGCCTTTAGAATAATGTTCTTTTAGATGCATTGGCTGAAGTGCTACATGGATAGAAAGCATCCAGTTCCACCGGCCACTCTATGGGAACAGGCACTGTTACCTTATGCTAAAATAGGAGCTCTCTGCATTTGAGTAGACTGATTCTATTCTTGTATGAGCAGCCCAACCTCAGTTCAGTCTGCACACCCTAGAGGGCCAAGAGACATTGTTAAAGGCATACAAATTCTACTGCTATGCTAGTTCCCAACTGCTGGCCTCTCCTAGCTGCATGTTTTCATTCACTAACATCGGCTCCAGCCCCTGCTGAGCTGCAGCCTTCCCTCCTCAGAAGAAAATAACTTCCAGAAAAACACAAAGGCCCAAGTCCTGACCACAGCCCTGCTTTTACACTTCTCAAAGTTGGGCCCTTCCAACTTGCACAGCTGCACTGTGGGTCTGGGGAGCAGAGATGTGCACGCTCAGTGAGACCAGCTCTGGTCAGGGTGGAGTGTATTACAGCTGCACTGTCTGTTCTCAGTTTTAAATAAACTGTATTTAAATTTGTTAAATAAAATTAAGTATGGTTTTTAAGAGCTAGAATGCCCTGCAACTCCATTCTGAGAGGCAGTGCACACAGTTGTGCTTCTCAGAGCCCAGATCTCCCATTTTGCAAGTATTTATGCGACTCCTTGGCTTCTATCACAACCAAAACCTGATTGCTGCTCCTTGACAAGGGGGAATTTCATCTCCAGGTGCATGGAGCTCTCTTCTCCATGATTGAAAGCTCTCACTTGGTCCTGACCTGAAACAGAATGGTATTTTTGACAGAGGAAAAAAAACCACATGTGAATTTTTAGAACTTTTTTTTTTTCCTCCTTTCTGAGAGAGAGACAACCTCCATATTAAAACGCAGTGGAACAAAGCTCACAGTTAACTCATTTGACAACCAACGTGGCTTCCAACAAGTGAACCAGTTGCAGCCCCTCTGCAGACCGCATTGATAAATTCCACCTGGAAGTACAACACCATGGGTTTCCACACCTGGTTACTCGTATATTCACCAACTATTTTCTCCCTAATTATAAAAATGAAGAGGTCAGTCATAACATGTTTTTAAAGTCAGTGGAGAGCTGGACTCGGAGTTTAGTTCACTCTCTCTCTCCTGCCTCCAGCACCATGTTACTCCCTCAGATCCTTCTGTCCATAACATCATGCACAGCCATCCAAGCCCCAGCTCCTCAGCGGTGCACGCAGATGAGCTTCAGCTTCCATCAACGAAACCACGGATTCCGGTTCCTCTGGGGCTCATTCTCTCTTCTGAGCTTTCTGCCAAAGAGCAAATCCTTGACCTGGGTCTAGTGGAAATTAAGAGGCCCAAGTGCATGGGCCATCGTGTCCCCAGACATGCAACCAGGAGTGTTCAAGATGAACCAAAGGTGGGAAAGATGCTCTCGTCAGTCCACATACTGGGTCCTTCCCAAGTAAGGTATGTCGACAGACTGTATGATCCGTCCTGCAGTGCGTTCCTCAAAAATGATGATCTGCAGAAGAGAGGCACATGGAAAGCTCTTCATACAAAGGCGAAGTTACTTAACGACTTCTAAGGGTAAAGGGCATACAATCACTGCAGAGAAAGGAAGGATCATTTAAAGAGATCAATCAATATGACTTGGAACAGTAACTCTGATTCTTCAGCACCACACAATGCAGAAAATGAACGAGCATCAAATCGGCTTCATCTCGATTTTGAACTTGATGCTGCACTGTGAAGTTTAGCTGAGATCTCTGTCATGTCTTAATGACTGTCAGAGCCACATTCTTAGCTTTAGAGCAGCACCTCCCCTCATTTTCACAGATCTGAGGAGCTACGTCTCCTTCCTTCACTACTGCCCTCGTTTTCAGCTGTAGCTAACTAATTAATGTACTGTATTTGTCTAGATCTCTGGGGCATGACCCTGAGCAGGATCTTTAACAATACACACACACAAGACATCAGAGCCTCTCACCTCATTGCTCCCTTTCCACAACCAGGGGCCAGGAAGGTACAGTGTTTCCTGAGGTCCAATTTTCCAGTAGCGGCCAAGGTTGTGACCATTGACAAACACAACTCCTTTTTCCCAGCCCTAGAATCAGGACAGCACACAGAATTAGTGAAGCAGCTGTATCTAACATCCCTACAGGAAATGCACTTGCACTCTTTCCAGTCACTTTCTGCAGGTTTTCTGCTTGCCTTCCTGTGCCATGTCTATAAAGAAGCAATTCTTCCCATACTTCAAGGAGGTAGGAATAAAACTTGCCCCTCCTTTATGTTTTGTGCCCATCACTCTTCAGCAAGTAGAAAACAAAAAGCCCTTGCCTATCAGTGATCAAGACTAACCATTCATTAGCAGCTCTGCTCCATCAGCACTGCATGTTTTCTCATTAAGGCCGCTGCAGACAGAACAGCATTGCCTGCCAGCTTTAGAAGATTTTTTTTGCACCATCAAAATAATTTGTTTTCTCAAAGCACAGAGGAAGACTACAAGGCAGCGGCCTTGACTGGCTCAGAGCTGTGACACAAGGCTCTCTTCAACCAGCTTTTGCAAACCCTCATGAATCAAAAACGGTGGGGAAGGACAAGGACTTGCCTGTAGCTTCAAGAAAGTATCCTGTGGTTGATGCTCTATCCACAGCTTCCCACGAAAAAAAGCTGGACCAACAAAGTAATCTGGGACTGCGCTCCATCCAGCAGTGTGCCGCAAGCTGAAAGAGAACGGCCAAGCACAGCTAACAGCTGGGCAGCACCCAGTTCCAACACAGCCTCAGCATCATTTCAGAGCCCTGCTTACAGCAGTGGATGGGATCTGTTACACACAACAAGGCTGCAGTTTCCTTCCATGCCTGATGGAAGGAGTTACTTCCTGCTGGTAGTGCTGAAGGCAATATCTTTCGCACTGCAAAATGGTGATGCTGTTAGCAAGCACCTAGCTGAAAGGAACAGGTGGAACATGTCTTGGTCTTCATTCTCCTACGCTTGCCATGCCACTGAAATGCCAGTCCTTGGTGCAAGAAAAGGAAATATGGAGTTTCACCATCTCTGCTGCCCTCTGGAAGCAGAGGACAAACAAAACAACCAACACAGAGCACCAAAGTCCCACAGAACCCTTACAACTGCATCTCTTGGATATAGGGAATTTATTGATCCAGTGCAGCACGACCACTACAGAACAATTCAAGTGAAAGCCTATGACAATTCCTTTCACGATGCCACATCTTCCTATGCACTCACTGCAAGCTGACTGTGCTCTGCTGCTACTGGGCAATTGCCAGTGAGTGGCTGTGGTGTGGCCAAAGCTGCCCTGCAGTCATGGGTTTTGCACATCACCCCTCAGAAAGACCCCCTTCACACAGCACCTGTTAAGACTGTCCTTAAAAACTTCAAAATGTTGATTTTTCTTTTTTCCTCTTTTAAAAGCCTGCTTGGTTTCACATCACCTCTCCCTCCTTCCTACGCGCGTTGCGGGAGCTGTGCTATCTTGGGGGACGCACATGTGTTATTTTCTGACATTAACAAAACTCCAAATAGTCTGTTTGGAACATTGGCCAGAGCCCACGGGGTATCTGTTGTCTTAAACTGTGTGGAGAAAACAGCACT